TGGAGGGGGAATATTGAATGCAGGGATACAGAAGGGGGACACTGACTAGGGGGACACTGGAGGGGGAACATTGACTGCAGGGATACATAAGGGGGGACACTGACTAGGGGGACACTAGAGGGGGTACACTGACTAGGGGAACACTTAGAGAAGGACAGTGACTGAGGAATCACACTAAGGAGACACCGACTGGAGGGACACTAAGTGGGGGGACACCAACTAGTGACATGACAACTGGAGGACACGAACTAGGGGTGCCGTGAGGGGGCATTAACTGGGGGGAGGTACACTGACTGGAAAACACTGAGACTGACTAGGGAACACCAACTGGGTTGGACAGGTTATCTAATCTAATCATTATTGCCCCCCCACCCCAATAAGTGGTAGCGTACCTCCAACCACCACCACCAAAAACGACTCTAGTAGTGTGAAGATCTGCCTGGACAACCCATTCCATTTATATCCAATCAGCTCTCACCAGGGCTCTCAGTTGTTGCCATATGACTCAAGAAGGTGAGGGGACACTATGGAAGGTGGAGCACAAAGCAGTTTTCTTTTAATTCTCTTTTTTTGTTCCTTGGAACCCACCAACATCTAATTTCTCCCCAACTAATAGTGATGGAGAACGGCTGGGGGGAGGGGTGGGGGAGGGGGATAATTATACAAAGCCAAACTAGGGGGGGCACCGTGGCACATACCACATGATCCCCAGACACAACGTGTTCTTCCTCAGCTGCTGCGTCCTCACCAGATCCCAGAAAGTGTATTTCCGACTCTCCACCGCCACCGTCTTCTGCAGGACCTGGAGGGACAACACTGACAGTATCACCTGTTCATTGAGCTGACATTTCTGTGTCCCCTTCCTAGGGGTAATAAGTACTATCCTTGTCGCACTCCTTACCGATATGTCCCTTGTAGTGGGGGGTGCTCGCAGTGACCGTGGATGGCGCCGCGAATGTCAGCAAAAATGTAGAAATGTCACCAGCACACCAGTCCTTTTAAAGGTGTGCTGGTGACATTTCTACACCCTTCCTAGGGGGAGCCCCGGGGCCAGCTATCTGTGGAAAGGATAATAAGGGGTTCTGGGGACACAATATGGAGCTCTTAGTGGATGAATAGAGGTGTGTGCTGCACTCATCCGTGTCTTGTTTATCCCCAATGACATCACAGCTGACAGTCACTGGCCTAACCTCCTGCTCTCTGGCTCCTTTGACAAAAGTGAATCGAAAAATCAGCTTTTGTTCAACAGGGTTGTCCTGAGGGGGCCATACACTGCCTGTATGTCAGACGAGTCAGCAGGGCTTGGCCGAAATTCCAGCAGTGTATGGGCAGCTTATGATCTGATTTCATGCAGCCTGTTTATTCTGAGTCTGCCTCTCCTCGGGAACACTGTAGCGATCTGCAAGGCTGGTGGAGTGCTCCCAGGGACGGGCAGACACAGAATTTTCAAAAAGCCTAAATAATTTTTCTTTCTGCAATGGGTTTCTACATACTCCCCATTCACTGCTAGTGTTTTGTAGATGTTCATGGTCTGATGTGACAATATAGTGTTTAGTGAAATGATGATATATGGTATAATATATATGCAGTCTGGGGTTAGATGGCAGGGGAGGGTTATGCAGATGATCAGGTATTGGGGTGTTCCAGTTTGAATGAAGGATTGTAGATCTGTGTAGAGGGGACATACAAAGGATTCACATAGGGGACATTCATGGGTCATATGCGTTCCTGACCAATATAAAGTGGCCTAGGTCCGTGGTCTCAAAGCCATGGTCAGGGCCCAGTACAGGTGACATTCATGGGTCATATGCATTCCTGACCAAGACAAAATGGCCTAGATCCCTGGTCTCAAAGCCATGGTAAGGGCCCAGTGCAGGTGACCAATAGGGGACATTCATGGGTCATATGCATTCCTGACCAAGACAAAATGGCCTAGATCCCTGGTCTCAAAGCCATGGTAAGGGCCCAGTGCAGGTGACCAATAGGGGACATTCATGGGTCATATGCATTCCTGACCAAGACAAAATGGCCTAGATCCCTGGTCTCAAAGCCATGGTAAGGGCCCAGTGCAGGTGACCAATAGGGGACATTCATGGGTCATATGCATTCCTGACCAAGACAAAATGGCCTAGATCCCTGGTCTCAAAGCCATGGTAAGGGCCCAGTGCAGGTGACCAATAGGGGACATTCATGGGTCATATGCATTCCTGACCAAGACAAAATGGCCTAGATCCCTGGTCTCAAAGCCATGGTAAGGGCCCAGTGCAGGTGACCAATAGGGGACATTCATGGGTCATATGCATTCCTGACCAAGACAAAATGGCCTAGATCCCTGGTCTCAAAGCCATGGTAAGGGCCCAGTGCAGGTGACCAATAGGGGACATTCATGGGTCATATGCATTCCTGACCAAGACAAAATGGCCTAGATCCCTGGTCTCAAAGCCATGGTAAGGGCCCAGTGCAGGTGACCAATAGGGGACATTCATGGGTCATATGCATTCCTGACCAAGACAAAATGGCCTAGATCCCTGGTCTCAAAGCCATGGTAAGGGCCCAGTGCAGGTGACCAATAGGGGACATTCATGGGTCATATGCATTCCTGACCAAGACAAAATGGCCTAGATCCCTGGTCTCAAAGCCATGGTAAGGGCCCAGTGCAGGTGACCAATAGGGGACATTCATGGGTCATATGCATTCCTGACCAAGACAAAATGGCCTAGATCCCTGGTCTCAAAGCCATGGTAAGGGCCCAGTGCAGGTGACCAATAGGGGACATTCATGGGTCATATGCATTCCTGACCAAGACAAAATGGCCTAGATCCCTGGTCTCAAAGCCATGGTAAGGGCCCAGTGCAGGTGACCAATAGGGGACATTCATGGGTCATATGCATTCCTGACCAAGACAAAATGGCCTAGATCCCTGGTCTCAAAGCCATGGTAAGGGCCCAGTGCAGGTGACCAATAGGGGACATTCATGGGTTATATGTGTTCCTGACCAATATAAAGTGGCCTAGGTCCGTGGTCTCAAAGCCATGGTCAGGGCCCAGTGCAGGTGACCCATAGGGGACATTCATGGGTCATATGTGTTCCTGACCAATATAAAGTGGTCTAGGTCTCTGGTCTCAAAGCCATGGTCAGGGCCCAGTACAGGTGACATTCATGGGTCATATGCATTCCTGACCAAGACAAAATGGCCTAGATCCCTGGTCTCAAAGCCATGGTAAGGGCCCAGTGCAGGTGACCAATAGGGGACATTCATGGGTTATATGTGTTCCTGACCAATATAAAGTGGCCTAGGTCCCTGGTTTTAAAGCCATTGTCAGGGCCCAGTGCAGGTGACCCATAGGGGACATTCATGGGTTATATGTGTTCCTGACCAATATAAAGTGGCCTAGGTCCCTGGTCTCAAAGCCATGGTCAGGGCCCAGTGCAGGTGACCCATAGGGGACATTCATGGGTCATATGTGTTCCTGACCAATATAAAGTGACCTAGGTCCCTGGTCTCAAAGCCAAGGTCAGGGCCCAGTGCAGGTGACCAATAGGGGACATTCATTGGTCATATGTGTTCCTGACCAAGACAAAATGGCCTCGGTCCCTGGTCTCAAAGCCATGGTCAGGGCCCAGTGCAGGTGACCCCACTATGTCCTTGTCTATCCACCTCCATTTATATCATCCTAATCCTTCCTTTTTTACACCGAATATCAGGCAGTGTTGGACGCTGTAATGGGAAGCAGGTAGAGGGAAGCCTTGGCTGGGGAGCATTTACCTCTGGAGAGATGTTTTTCCTGAAGTTCGGCCTTCCATTCATCTTTGCACATTGGGACAGATATCTGTGAGCTTCGATTGCATCTTGCCTGGTGAGGAGCCAACGTGCAGATTCTGGGACCCACCTACGAGGAGAACAATTGTTCATTATATTTCCACTGAATCTCCTTCAAATGGTGGCCTGTTGCCTTCTCTTATGTGTCAGTTTGGGTTCACCCCACACCAGAAAACTCAGCCCTGTATAAGTCCCACAGTCTGTGCTGGGATTGTCCCGAGCTGGGAAGAGTTAGGATTTCAGAGCTGCCATGTGGGCAGATAGTTTACTTACACAGAAGTTCTACATACTCACCACCAGGTGGCGATACAAATCAGGCAGGGGGCTGTGGTGGCCAATAACAGCCATCGCCAGTCTCTTATCAGATAGGCCAGCAACGCCAGGAGCATGTAACCGACCGTCCAGGACAGACTACTGATCGTGCCACAGAATGTGCGATGAGCCACGTCCGTCCATTCCAGCACTGAGCAGAAAGAGATCAGAAGACGTTACTCAACGCATTGTCCATGGAACAAGAATGGTTCAGCAAAGGGCTAAGCAGGCAACAGAACAAAGCTGATTCCACCACCTCTGTCCACCAAATGAAGATTGTATAGGAGATCAGTCCTGGATAATCTAAACACTGAGGGGCGCTTCCTGTCTCTTGTCAGAGTTATTGGAGAATTTTTTTGTAAATTTAGCATCACACCCTCATAACTCATGCACCCGCTCTGCTCTCCTCCTCCATGTTCCTTCTACTTTTCCCCATCTTTCCTCCTCTACCTTCCACTGTCATCCATAGTATTGGCCACAGTTCTGTGGCCTCTTCTTTTCCCTCCACTGTGGCCTCTTCTCTACCCTTCTCTGCAGTCCTTTCTCTCCCCTTATCTCCTATGTGGCTCATTTCTCCTCCTGTCCTCCGTCTCCTCTACTGCCTTGGCTCCTCTACGGCCATTCCATATCCATGGACAGCTTCTCTCTAGAAGCCTCTGAGAGGCATGGTGGAACCAGAATCTGCCTGTTTTCAAATAACGGGCATTTCCCGCTCGCGAGCGCCCAGCGGTGCGCGCGAACCACTTCACATGTGCAGAGGAGGGGAGAGATCTGCCATTGCCACCCACAGGAGGGAGGAGATCATTCATGATTCCATACACCATGCTGCACAGAACAGCCCACCTCCCACCAGTACACATCCAGGGCCACCATTGGAAAGCACGAGGCCCCTTACTACATGGTCTCTCTGGGCCCTTATCTGATGCTACATGTTATCATACAGCTTTTTATATTTTTTCGGGAAGCTAAAAAATACCAAACTTTTCACATTCAGGTTGATTTCTCTTTTACAGACATTTGTAAATAAAAGTAAAATTGCTCTTAAAATACAAGATTCTTGACAAAAAACAATTGAAAATGTAATAAAGAGTTACTAGGATCTTGTATCTGAGTGTGAGATTATCTAATAAACTGAAATCTGGAGATCCAGGATTCTTGTATATCCCTTTTATTTTCTGCCCCTCTGTCTAAGTGATGTCTCTTTACCATTTACCTAGTCTGCCACTGATGGAAACCTATCCAGTAGGAACCGCAGCTGATGGAAATCCATGATAGTCAACTCATCAATGATTTACACATACTTAACCTGTGAAGGGTACAGAGCTATAGGACAGAGATCACGCTTTCAAAGGGAAGATAAAGCTCGTACCTAGAGTTATAGAGATGAGAGTCATTCCCATCAGCCCGACTCCGCTCAGCAGTCTGCATACCGAGAACATGATGTAGGACACAGAGAATGCCGACATGGCCCCAAATACGGTGCTCACCAGGAATGACACCAGCAAAATGTTCTTACGCCCAAACCTATGAGAGGGAAAGTCACAGACCAATGGGTCACACTAAGTCAGCCTAAGTCTTGGGACAGACACTGGTTATTGGGTCACACAAAGTCAGGCTGAGTCTTGGGACAGACACTGGTTATCGGGTCACACAAAGTCAGCCTGAGTCTTGGGACAGGCACTGGTTATTGGGTCACACAAAGTCAGCCTGAGTCTTGGGACAGGCACTGGTTATTGGGTCACACAAAGTCAGCCTAAGTCTTGGGACAGACACTGGTTATTGGGTCACACAAAGTCAGCCTGAGTCTTGGGACAGACAGTGGTTATCGGGTCACACAAAGTCAGCCTGAGTCTTGGGACAGGCACTGGTTATTGGGTCACACAAAGTCAGCCTGAGTCTTGGGACAGGCACTGGTTATTGGGTCACACAAAGTCAGCCTGAGTCTTGGGACAGGCACTGGTTATAGGGTCACACAAAGTCAGCCTAAGTTGTGGGACAGATGCAGATCATTGGGTCAGATAAAACCATTCCGAGTCCTGGGACAGATGCTGGTCATCATGTCAGATAAAGCAACCTTAGTCTAGGGATAGTCGATGGTCGTTGGGTCAAATAAATCAGCCTTAGTCTAGGGACAGACACTGGTCATTGGGTAAGACAAAGTCTGAATAATTGTCAGAATAAGTCAGCCAGAGTCCCAGTATGGAAGTTGACCATTGGGTCAGACAAAGCAGCCTTAGTCTAGGATAGTCATTGGTCCTTGGGTCAGACAAAGCAGCCTTAGTCTAGGGACAGACACTGGTCATTGGGTAAGACAAAGTCTGTCTGAGTCCAGGGACAGACACTAGTTTTCATGTCAGACTAAGTCAGCCAGAGTTCCAGTATGCAAGTTGATCATTGGGTAAGACAAAGTCAGCCTCAGTGCTGGGACAGATGCTGGTCATAATATCATACAAAGTCATCCTAAGTACCGGAAGAACCACTGGTCACGAAGTCAGACAAAGTTGTAGGTAGGTGCAGTATGGCCAACGGTCACTAGATGCCCCCATGGGGCCCTGGAGATAGATGCAGCTCTGGCCTGGGAAGACTCTGTCCCAGGAGAGTTGATTTATAGGGGGCACCCGAGAGGGGAAGGAGTTCAGTTCAGAGGAGTACAGGAGAAGTCTAAGACTGTCTGCAGAGTCTCTGGAGAGAGACTGTTTCTTGAATATAGGCTGGTCCATGGGAAGGACAGGACAAGGCCTAGGACTATGTAGAGCTACAAAGATTCCCTAGTTTCCCCACAGGGGGAAACCCACCGTGCTAGGACTGACAATGGATGGGATTCCGGTGAATAGTGAAGTGCTAGAAGACTGACGATATTCGCCAGTGGGCCTATGGCCGAAGTAAGTCGTGACTCTGGGCTGCACCTGGGCTGATGTAGCTCTCTCTCTCTAAAGTGTAATACCAAGCAAGTAACAAGAATTGTGCCGTCATCCCACCCGGGGGTGGCTGAAACATATACTTTGTTCTGTTTCTACCTTCAAGTAAAATCAGCAAAAAGACTATCTGTGTGGACTGGTTCTTCTCCCTCCAACCTCTGAGAAGGTGGGGTTCTACAGGAGTGTGATGTTGGACTGTATCGTGGCTGTAACCATCTGAGGAGGGTAGGTGTGCAGTGGGGCTATGCCTGATACAGGGTGCCATTCGTGGTGGCCTTTCTCCCTAAGGGGGAGGAAGCGCCGAAGACCGCAGAGGCGGTTGAAGCCATGAGGCCCTGTGTACACAGTACTACACGGTGGCAGTGTTTGCACGAGGCCAAGGCCGTGGCCCCTGACCGTGGGGTATCTGGTTTCGAGTGGCATGCACGGGGTTACCCAGCCAACCCAAAGGGAACACACAAGCAACACCCCGAGAGTGAACCCCGCCTACAAAGTCAGCCTGAAGTCCTGGGGGCAGATGCTGTTAATTGGGTCAGACAAAGTCAGCTCGAGATCCAGGGACAGATATTGGTAATTGGGTCAAATGATGAGTCCCATGACAGACACTGGTCACCAGACTTTGATTTACCCCATCCCCCCACAATAACAGTCCTGGATACAGTCATTACCTTAGCTCTTTGTAGGAAACTAGTTATAACACTAACACTAAAAATGTTTTAGCAGTCCGATACAACAATGTAACCTCTTACCAAGCATTCCTATGATTAGGCCCTGTGGGTGAAACATGTAAGGAGAGAGTTTCTTTTGTTCTGGGGAGCTTTGGAAGGTATATGCTGTTCTATGGATTGAAATAAAATTTGGATTTATTTGGAGGAGGCATTGAGTGCGGCTCTTCTTGGACAAAAACTCTTACCAAGTACGTCTGACAAATATCCAATGATGGAGCCCACAGATTCTTTCTGTAACCACATCATAAATTACATCATGGCATTTTACAAATTATGTTCCTGCTTGCCTAAGAGAAAGCTCCCTTTGTGTATACAGTACACGGTGTATGTATGTATCTCCACACAATGTATCTGAATGTAGGAGGCGAGGCAATTGGGTGGGGTTCTGTATATTGTGTTTTCTTGACTTCTGTATATAATAAAATTTAGAATTTCTCATGCTGGATTGCTACACTCCAACCTTGGTGGCCAACTTTTATCTACTATGACCCCCTTCAATCCACCACGACCTGCTGTGACTTATGACCATCCATAACCTTCTATATCTCACCATAACCGACTCTGGTCTGCCTTGACTTTTTTGACCCAACCATGATTAATGTCACCTGCCATGACTCCCCTTGACATTCTGGACCCTGCCATAACCTGCCTTGATTCACCTTGACCTGCTGTGACTCTAGCGTTTCTACCTCTGTCCCAGCTGAAGCTCTTCTGAGGAACCTCAAGTCACTGTGCTCTCCATTTTGGAGTCCTCAACATATGAGACACTTCCTGCTGCTAATTGTTAAAATTATCTAAACTCTCTTGAGGAATCTGAATGGTCCTTCCTCTGGTATGCCATCACCTCACTGCCTATACTGTTACTTTCTCACCATAGTCAAAGATGGCGGCAAATAGTAATATGTTGAGGACAGTGCTTCTCCTGAGTAACATACTGGACAGACATGGGGGGCAATTGCCTGAACTGTCATCTCACCTGTCAGAGAGGAATCCACAGAGGAGGGATCCAATGGTCAGGCCAATGAAGAAGAAGGTGGCGGCTGCTTGATTTAACCATTTGCTGTCACACACCAAATCCCACTGCAAGAAAAAAACAAGGGCCTCAGAGTCATCCCACCTCACAGGCACAGAGCTGGGCCCCCAGGAAGTGCATCTCAACAGGCTCCTCTCAGCCACAAACACTGGAACTAGTGGAACTAGGCCCCAGAAAATGGCCAGAGTATCCATTTCCTCTCATCCACAATGTGGACTCGGGGAAGGGCTCCCCATAAGACTCCATTATTACGTAGATACTGGACAGCCTCCAAGAAGGGGCCCGATCATCAGACTCCTCTGAGCCATAGACACTATACAGCAGGGATGTCCAAACTCCGGCCCTCCAGCTGTGATGAAACTACAAATCCCATGAAGCATCTCTCTCCGGGAGTCATGTCTGTGGCTGTGAGAATCTTGCAAAGCCTCATGGGATTCGTAGTTCTACCACAGCTGGAGGGCCGCAGTTTGGACATCCCTGCTATACAGTCTCAGGGAAGGACCCCACAATAGACTAATCCACAGACACTGGACATTACCCAGGAAGGGCCCTTCATCAGACTCTTCAGGGCCCCTAGTCTGTTACAGGAGGCAAATGTGTACCTGCCGGATAGTGGCTCAGATTTATAAAATGGTCCATTTTTGGGAGAGTACAGCACTGTTATCTAGGGACGCACCAAAATTACATTTTTAGACGGAAACCTAAACTTCTAAATTTGTCAGGCCGAAAAAAATTGCTTTTTATTTTTATGTTTTTGTAACTTTACTGTTAGGGGCTTTGGGGAATATCGGGGGTCTAAACAGACCCCTTATATTTCCATTTTAAAATAGAAAAAGAGATTGAGGACACGGGGTCCTTCCGACAGAGCTTTCCGCCCCGCTTGGCCTCCTGACAGCGTCTTTCCTTCCCGCTGGGTGCTGGATCGGCTCTGTGTCCCCTCTGATCCCCGCTGGCTCTGCTGACACAGGCGGGGGTGAGCAGTGGGGATTGGAGGGGACACAGACCAAAGCTTGCAGCCAGTGCCCAGCGGCAAGGAGAGAAGCTAGCTGGGATGCACAGCATTGTGGGCCATTTTTGTTCTATTGGCATCTTGCACACAGTACCATTTACAGAAATTTCGGTGCATCTCCACTGTTATCTGATAAGATGAGATAAGATTATTCTGTCCTGTGTGAGCAGCTTAAGGCTGGGTTCACACCTGAGCGGGTTTTTTTATGCTCGTTTTTCAGCTCGTTTTTTTCACGTTTTTTCGTTCAGTGAAACGCACGTTTTACTGGCGGTAGGATTTATTTTTTGTTTTTTTTCCTTTATTTTCAGTTTTTTTTAGTTTAACTTTTAAACTTCCCGCCGGCATGATTGATCCTTTTCATGTAATTCTTTAGTGGTTGAACTGAAAACAAATTGAGCAGTTTGGAAAAGTTCTTGGAAAATCCAACCATGTATTTTCTCTATTAAGATTAGAAACATAATATAATATTGATATCCCCTTCCTACCACAAGTCTGCGGGATCCCCCACTGCTCAGGAAGGACAGTAAATGAATGCCTGCAGAGAGCATGGTGGAGCCTCTTCTGGCATGTACTAGGTACAGGGGACACGGTGGCCGGTATTGGATACAATTAGGGTTGCACAGATACCAAGTACAGTACTCGGTACAAGTACGAGTACAAGTACCGATACTTTTGAGCTCCAAGACTACACTAGAGAAAAATTCAAAAGTTAGGAGGCGGTTGTCATTTGTAAGGAGCACACGGAGCTCCCGGGATTTGTACATCTCTGTTTTAATGTACGATTTTGTTTTTATAAATATAAATAAAGTGATGCACAGATACCAGTTTTGCGAGTACGAGTACTGGTACTTGCCGAGTACTTACAAGTACTGATACACTTTTGTTTATTGTCATGTGACAGTTTTTCTAAAACAATACAGACTAATGATTTCAGGACAGTGGTGGAGTGCCAGAGCCAGGTCCCCCCTGCAATCCTGGTAGTTCTCATGAAAATGCCAAGTATCTGCACTGGTACTCGAAAAGTATCTGTGCATCCCTAGATACAATTATACACATTTGCAGTTGGAAATTGTAGGAGGAACTTTACATGAACCAAAAAAAGTTGTTACCTCAGTGACGGTGGTGGAGGAGAAAGTAGACAAGTCATACTCCCAGCCCTGGTCACAGCTCTGCACACCAGATCCATTGATGGTCTCCTGGGATCTGTTGAGGATCAGGTGAGGCTGTGGCTGGGAATACATCTTACAGGAGCTGAAGGTCCCATCTTGTGCTTGGGGGATGTTGGTGAAGAGCAGGGCCTCTTGGCTCAGGTTCCCAGGGTTCCTCTGGCTGGAGATGTGACAGTGGTGGGGTGGCACAGCTGAGATGAAGATATGTAATAAGAAATGGAGTGGAAGGATGACCCGGGGGAGGCAGAGGATCAGGAGAGACTTTATCTGGAACTTTCCAAAAACACCAACTTCTGAGAGGACATCTTCAAACCTCATCCTGCAGATCTCAGGGGAGAAGTCGGAATGTCACCAAGAAGAGTTCGTGGAAACATAAAAAGTTGGGGAGTGACAGCCGGCAGCAGAATGTGGCAAGGTAATTGAGTTTGTGTTTTCCGAAGCTCTCATCCACAACATGGCCATTATTTCATGCTCGCTGGCAACACTTATCTCATTTCCAGTAGCAAAGGGCTGGATACCATTCATGGGTCATGGGACTTCCATTGCACAACACAGCGTCGCATTGTTCAATGGAGGGATGTGCAGCATTATGGAACACCACAGCTCCAATCTGATCATCCACTTAGTCTAAATTGGACACGGTGAGATGCCCCCCTGACCGCGGGGGGAACTGCCAATCAAATCAACAATATGATCACTGGAACATTTCACTCAGTTTTATTATTATTATTATACAGGATTTATATAGCGCCAACAGTGTGCGCAGCGCTTTACACTATAAGGAAGACATTACAATCACAATACAATTCAAGACAAGATGGTAAGGAGGGCCCCGCCCCTGAGAGATATTTAGAGATCATGATATTGGCAGGAGCACACCTGTCCATCTATCTCCCACTCTGACTGCCTCTAGGCGATCCCTTTAGGGCCGGTGCACACCTAGGCGATTTATCGCGCAGTTTGAGTCGCGCGATATCGCACAAAACACTGAAGTCAATTGCGACTGCTCACACCTTTGCGGTTTGTCGCACGACCTAAATAAATCGTCTGTGGCGCGAAAAGGTGCAGGAGCTATTTTCGGGGGTGTTGTGGCGCGGTTTGGGTCCCATAGACATCTCTATGCCTTGAAAAACGCGCGACAACCACGCGAAAACAGCTCGGCGTGTGAACCTAGCCCAAGACTCATCTCTTCAGGGAAGCCTATCCCGCCTCCAACTAAGCGCTCAACCATCACGTTCTCAAACAATTCATCCCCACACAGCTACCTCCTCATCTATCACTTCCCCCTCCCTTTTAGATTGTAAGTCCTCACGGGCAGGGCCCTCCTTACCATCTTGTCTTGAATTGTATTGTGACTGTAATGTCTTCCTTATATTGTAGAGCGCTGCGCAAACTGTTGGCGCTATATAAATACTATGTAATAATAATAATAATAATAATGGAAGTCTATGAGTTGGCTAACCTGCTAAAAACAACGCACTCCCGGTGTGGCTGATATCTCATCTCAGTAGCATACATTACCAACTATAGAACTTACCAACTTTTCTGATGTGGAGAAGGTATGCCGCCATGCCGTGCGGTGGATATGTGGGGCTGGCTACATTGCACTCAATAGTGGCAGTGTATCTAAAAGAGTATCTTAAAGGAGAACTATGGGGTCAGGGCTTTCCCCATAGTTCTCCTTAGGGTAACGGGAGGACACAAACTAGCGTCCCCCCGTCACCCTAAGCTCAGTATATAGGGAGCTACAGCTCGCGGTATACTGAGACGCCGCAGCCGGAGCGGATCCCGACATCGATGTCTGGATCCGCCCAGCTGCGTGACTGACAGCTGGCTCTGCCTATCTAGAGGCAGAGCCAGCTGTGCCCGCCCCCTCCCCCGTACGTTCCGCCAGTCAGCGCTGTCGGATCGGAGCGGGGAGGGGGGAATCCAGCCCCTCCCCCTGTCATGGCAGAGAGCCGTGACAGGATCGAGAGGTGAGCGAACGCCGGTATGTGTTCGCTCACCTCCCGATCTACTGAGCCGACCTGCGACAGTCT